GCCGATACATTTTTATCAGCTGGCTTAGCCGGCTAAGCTGCCTTAGCCACGGCTGCTTTAGCCGGCTTGAAACACTATACGAGGAACATTTTTCGATTTTTACGTTACATCTGATCCTGAAATTTGATTGGTCAAAGTAAAAAAAATTGAATCGCTTGTGTAACGATCTACAAACTCGATGTTTTTTTTTAAGAATTCTCATTCGCATCATCGTACTTAAACCGACTATAACAAACTAAAAAATACAATGGCATACGGTAATATCAGCTTTTATTGCTATAACACGAAGTTGTGATCCGATTTACTTTGTTCTCTAGATATAATTTACTGTCGTTTGTTCGTTTGTATAGGTTCTAATCGAAATTTTGGACGTGGAGGACGCGGTGGGGGTAAAGGTGGCGGAGATCGTGGAGGGCGTGGTGGACGCGGGGGGTTTCCATGTATGGAACGAGTATTTCTTTATGCTGCAACCAATTAATATTGTTTAATTAGTTTAAATATCAACAATTTAATGAATGGTATTCCATCTTATTTTTATTTTGATCCTTATATCTTCCGTTAGCTCGCGGTGGCGGTAAGAATATTCAATAATCACAATGCCAAATTGCCAATGAAACTTCAATTATATCTTTCGTTAGGTATCCAAAAACGTAGTTCTGTTGCTGGCGGTCGTGGAACTCGTGGAGGTCGAGGAGATCGCGGACGTGGACGTGGCGGTGGAAGAGGGGGTCGTGGTGGAAAGGCTGGAGTTAAAGGAGGATCTAAAGTTATAATTGAACCACACAGGCATCCTGGTATATTTATTGTGCCAAACGTTTTTATATTTGGTCAGTGTGGTGGCATAATTATAATTTTGGAATATTTTGACATTTTTGTTATTAGGCGTTTTTGTTGCTCGTGGTAAAGAAGATCTTCTTGTTACCAAAAATCTTGTAAGTGGTGAATCCGTATATGGCGAAAAAAGAATCTCCGTTGAAGGACAAGATGGTATTAAAACCGAATATCGTGTTTGGAACCCATTTCGATCTAAATTGGCAGCTGGAATTCTTGGGGGTGTTGATGATATATATATTGCACCTGGGAAAAAGGTATTGTATCTTGGGGCTGCTTCAGGAACTACGGTATCACACGTTGCAGATATAGTTGGACCAGTAAGTTTAACTTTCTAGTACGTGTAATGTCTTAATGAAACCCACAAGCTAAATTAATACCAATCATCATCTTAAAAGGAGGGAATAGTCTATGCCGTTGAATTTTCTCATCGATCCGGACGTGACCTCATTAATGTCGCCAAGAAACGTACTAACGTAATTCCAATTATTGAAGATGCACGTCATCCGCAAAAGTACCGTATGTTGATGAACATGGTTGACGTTATCTTTGCGGATGTGGCGCAACCAGATCAAGCACGCATTATCGCTCTGAACGCACATCATTTCCTTAAAAATAACGGAAATATTGTTATATCAATCAAGGCAAATTGTATCGATTCAACTGTTGAAGCAGCCACAGTATTTGCCAGGGAAGTAAAAAAACTACAGGAAGAGCGTATAAAACCTCTAGAACAACTTACTTTAGAACCGTATGAAAGAGATCATGCTCTAGTAATAGGAAGATATATAAGGGCACAATAAGAACTTTTAAGTAATCTATATTACTAAAAGACAAGTGTTTGCCTACTTATTAGACACCTGTTAATGTTACACCAATATGTAGATCTATTCACGTAGCAAAGCACGTGTAGTAACATTTTAAAAGCGCAATATTTTTTTTTTGTATTATGTACGGATTTGATATTCTAAAATAGCGACAAAAAAAAAACCAAAAAAAAAAAAATTAAAAGAGACTGAACATACTGTTTTTATGTAATACAGTCGACTCTGGATATACCGAACTGCATATTCTGGGAGGTTTTGTTCGGTGTAGAGTATAGATGCAGACTTATTTACGTCATTAGTTACGGCTCAATTGCGTTTTATTATTTTATAAACCGATTTTTTATATAGGACGTAACTAGATGATGTTATAAGTCTGCATCTATAGTGTAGAGTGGGTTCGTTATATAGCTTATTTTTTCTGTTCGGTATACAGAGCTAACTAACGAAATTTTTGCCCGGTATTATATACAAAAAAATAGTTCGTTATATCGAAATATTTGTACAATTATATTTATAATTCACAATATAATTTGTACTTTGACCTAGCTAGTACTTGCAAATAATGCTAGTTATCGAATTGCTAATCTTCTAGTAAGATTATTATGTTGTGTATATTCTATTATATAAATTCTATCTATTTTATTACCAACTAATCATTTATATATTCTTTTATAGTTGCTTAAATTTTACTCTTTATTTTTTTTTCATTTTTTCTTTTGATATTAGTCTGCGTTTGTGTTTCAGTTTTCTATTCTTTTTGTGTCTTTTCTAGTTTTTAACATCTGTTTTATTCTTTTTATCAAATATTTCATACTTGCTGCTTTTTCTTTTTCTTTGTATTTTTCATTTTTTTATTTTTTACTGTTTTGCTTTTATTTCTTTTAATATTTTCTTTTTTTCTTTTTATCTTGGTTTTGATTTTGCTTAGCCTTGCCTATTTTATTTTTGGTACTAAAGTAGTAAGTTGGTTTACTGCCTTCTAAATTAGATTATTATTATAAAAATTTTATTCTTTTATTAAATTATATAGATTATATTTAAATGTTTTGATTTCTAATTTAATATTTTGTTTAAATAGTATTTTTGTTTTATATTATAGTCTATATTTTTGAGTATTGATTCTATATCTAGTGTCTTGTTTGTATTTTTGGTTTATTATTTTTGCTATTAATTTTTTTTTCTTTTAATTTGGTCTTTATAATTTTTTTTTACTGTTTTTATTTTATAATCTTTTATACTATTTTGCTTAGTTTTTCTGTTTTGTAGTTTTGGTATTGCTTTTGTAATTTTTTTTAAAAATATTTTTTTGTATTTTGTTTATCTTTATAATATTCTTTTTTTTAATTTGGGTTGCAGATTTTTTTTTAGTTTTTGGTTTGAATTAATTTTTTTGTTATATTGTTGTATATTCAATTTTGTTTTTATTTTGTTAATTAAGTTTTTACTTATTTGCTTTTTGTTTTTCTTAGCAGTTTTATTAACCTTGTTTGTAATTTTTATATTTTGGTTTTTAATATAATGCTTATTTTTTTTTTAGCAATGATACTATAAGTTTGGATTTGCTTTTTTTTATTTGATTTAGAATTCTTTTTTTTAAAACCTTTATATTTTTTCTTATTATTTTGATTTTTTATTTTTTGTTAATATATTTTTATTTTTTATTTTTAAATATTTAATTAGTTTGTTTTTTTTTAGTTGTTTTCTTTTTCTTGCTGTTTTTTTTTTTAGTCAAGGTTAGCCTCTTTAGCTTATCGCTTTTAGTAGATTGTAGGATTATATAGTATTTTTATCATAGAAATACCAGACAAATACTTTTTAATGAGAATATATTTTATTGGTCAAAATCAAAAATAATTACTTTATATTTTCAAATAATTAGCCTAAATGATAGCAGACAAATAGGATGATGGTTTATAATAGTAAAAAAAACAAGCTGATAGCTTGAAGATTTTAGGAAAATATGTTGTATATCAGTTAATTTTATTAACAATTATTCAAATATTGTTATAATAATTAGTATATTTTTTAAGAAATATATAGAAGATTTTATTAAGATTTTTTAAAGATAGTTTAGCAATTAAATTAATTATTAGCTAATATTATATAGGCCAATTAATAAATATAGCAGATTATAATGAAATCCAGATCAAAATGAAATTATAATATAAAATCTTGAAAATTAAAATTTTTTAATGTATATTTTTTAGAGATAGGAGTTAGGATTAGGGATTAGTTTTAAAGTAAAGTTATAATAAACAAGTATAAGTAGGTTTTAGAAGGTTAACAGGTTAAGTAGAAAATGTAGATTTTATTTTAAATTATGATCTATAACAATAAATATATTTTGTATAATAATTATTGATAATTATAAAATTAAAATATTGGTATAAAAGAATGATAAATAATATTTTAGATTTATTAATCATTATTAAAAACAATTGAAATCTATATTTTAAAGATTATTTTAATCATTGGTTAATATAAATAATGGCTATTTGAGGGTGTAGCAACTTAGTGAAGTGGTCAAGTTATCACATCCCCAAGTGGCAAGACAAGAGTTTGAATCCTACTGACAACGAAATTCGAATTTTACAGAATGTATTATGACAGACTGTGTGTAATCTGATGAATTATCAGATCTATAAACTTGGTTGTATCAGGGGTTATTGGAAAGCTGTAGAACTGTAGTATAATATATGAATTACATGGGTTGTTGCCTAGCAAATCGATGCTTAGAAACGAATTTTTTATATGTAAATATCAACGATTAATCATTACTATGCATAATTTGGTATTGTGATAAAAATAGAATTTTGCATAACCTATGTATTATTATGATAACAGAAATATCGACTATATTCCTTTGAAATTATATATTGTGCTCCACTTTCGTTATAGTGGCTTTCAAGGATGCGATTTCCTAGAGATTGAAATAGTGTACGTAATTTTAGCTATTTATACAATATTTTAGACATTAATAGTTCGAATAGAGATATTATTGAAGCATATTTATTACTGTTGTTGCTATGACTGTAATAGTGCTCAATTGCTATGATGAATCAAAATAAAGACCTCAATCAATGTCGGTTTTACAAAATGTGGTCATTGACGTTAGTCAAAATGTAGTAATTCACCATGAAAAATAAGGTAATTTTGATATGATCGGTACCAAATTTTTCATACAATTCTTCAACGGTAATATAATGTGCAGAACCAAATAATTTTTTAAACAAAGTAATAATAATAATATATTTTCTTTGATGTAATTAATTACATGTCCTATACCTTATTCATCTTGATTTCAATAACGTTTGATCAGGTTAAAATATTTTCACTAAGATTAGTTCTGGCATATTTCCATTTTGAGGTGCTTAAGAGCACCCAAAATCTCAATATTGATATGAAATAGTTAAAGCAACGTTATTAGGTGTAATTATTCAGTTCGATCATAACAATGTTTTATCAGTTATTGATAAGATATTTATTTATTTTAAAATTGTTAGAATTAATTTAATCTTTTATGTATTTTAATAAAAGAATTTATTAAAGTTTTTTGTAATAAATTTGTAAAAATTTGCATTGATTACTTTGTTATAGTTGTGTAATTCATTTGATTCACTTTGTCATAATTGTAAAAAAAGCCTTCGTTCAATTTATTTATAAAAATTTGCTTTGATTTACTTTGTTACAATGGCAATGGCAAAATACTTTGATGATCATGAAATTGACATCATTAATATTGCATCCTCTTTTACTGAACTTGGAATAGAAGATTATAATGAGAAAGATGAAGTTATTTTCCAGAATATTCAAGAATTATGGGAGTTTTGGCAAAAAAAAACATGTACATGTAGAAAAAGTAAAAAAAAAAAACATGCCTTGTTTTGAAAAAATCGGATTTTGTTAATTTTTTAGAAGACAAGAAGAGTGCTGAAATATGTTTCACAATGTTTTAGATACCTGGATCCAAGGACAGCTTGCATCATTCATATATCATGAATTACAAGAAAAGGACAATTCTGAAATACAAAATCGTATTAAATATCAATATCGTTATAATAATCAACACATTGTATGTTTACCCACCTATTTAATACTGGTTGGAGTTTCTTCAACTCGCCTTGATAAAATTAAAGCACATATTAAAAATTATGGATTGGTTGAAATAGTTCATGGTAATACAGGACGTAGTTCAACTCGATCAGATCGTGCTATAATTGATGATCAAATTAAGCAAGAAGTTAGTAATTACCTTAATAACTATGCTGATATTTATGGATTTCCTTCACCCAGCTGAAATTTGTATAACCATTCGACACCAGTAGTTTCACTTCCTAGAGACAAAACATATACTAGTGTCTATGAGGATTATATTACTACTA